TGTGTTTCGTTGTCGTTTCGTTGTCGTTGTCCTTCGTTCTGTTTTCGTTCTACCTTTGCTGCGAAACGAAGTCGAAACGAACACGGTCCACGAGATCGCCAAAACACCGTTTAGCTCGAGCTCTGCTTTCCACACGCTCCGGTACAGGCGTCTCCATCTCGAGCATGCTTCCTGGAGGGCGGCGGGGGGCATCCTATAGTTCGAGGCAGGGCACCTACACCTCCTTGTCCGAGGAGGGCCGCTTGGAACAACGGCGCCTCTCCCGCCGGGCCCCGGCGGGCTCCCAGTCGGCCCCTGGACCCGCCCCTGTGCTTGATCCTCAGATCCTCGACGCGGACCGGGCGGTGGGACGAGGCGTCTCCAGGAGGCGCGAGAAGGACGACGAGCGCCAGGGAGGGCCGCCCGCCACTCCACTGGCCGGAACCCCTCCCGAGGTCCGCCCAAGGGGCCGTGGCGACGAGAAACCTCTGGGAGGCCCAGCAAGGACGAAGACCGCCAGCGTGGCAGGCCCGCACCCCTCGTCTCAGTTTACACTGAAATCTTAAGAGCCCTCCCCAATAGGTGGTGACTACTTCTTTGCCCGGCGGCCCGGCGGCCTTATTGAAGGACTGGTGTCCCACCACTAGGGGGTAACTAATTATTTCGCCACTGGCACCCGCCGCGCAACAACGATGGCGACACCTACGACTACGATTGCACAAACGACTACGACGACTACTACTGCCTCAGGTACGCTCTCACAGGAAATCCTGGCTCATCGTGACATTCATAAGGAGGAGGAGGAGGAGGAGGAGGAGGAGGAGGAGGAGGAAAGAAAGGAGGAGGAGGAGGAGGAGGTGGAGGAGGAGGAGGAGGGGAGGAGGAGGGAGGAGGAGGAGGAGGAGGAGGGAGGAGGGGAGGAGGAGGAGGAGGAGGAGGAGGAGGAGGAGGAGGAGGAGGAGGAGGAGGAGGAGGAGGGAGGAGGAGGTTTCTGGACCAGTCCTTCCTCTGACGGGAGCGAAAAGGGGGGACCAAAACTGAAGAACTTTACCGGTTCGCCACTCGTTTGGAGGCCTCCCAAACGCAGACCCCCTCGAGGTGCGGAACAAATGACCAAAGATCGTCGGCGATGTTCAACTTCTCGGGGCCCTCGCCGGGCCCTGAGGCAGTCAAATAACGACTCGGGAAGAAAAACTGGCACCCAGGAAAAGGTCGAGACCTCTGGTGGTCCACATATATATATATGTGTGTGTGTATAACACCGACGTCGGGGATCTGGAACATGGAATCTGAGTACACGAGTCTCGAGGGTCGCGACCCCATGTGGGACTCTTGGATGCCCAGAGATCCACTGTCCTGACTTCTTCAATACGGGGCCCCCGCAGTCCCGACCGGATGCCGGAGTTTCGTCCTGACCGTGTCTTGGCGGCCCCAGGGCCCAATGAGGGCCCTACACAGCCGGGAAGAGTTATAACAAAATCAACAAGATGATCATCGTGAAGGATCTGCAGACGGCAACGCCCAAACAGGATCATAAAAGTGGTATTCGACTTTCGATGCTGACAGCGTGCGCAGGCTTGCACCATGGGCCAGGTCATTGATCTGCCGCACTTCGGCTTGCCCGCGCAGTGGCAACATTGGGAGGCGGACGCCACTTAATGCCCGGGTGCTCTTTCAAGTTGATCCTTCACAGGGCCGCTGGCGTGGGCGGTTCCACGCTATGCCTTGCGGTCCACCAAGTCGGATGGCTAACATGCAACGCGCAATGCAAACGAGATGCTCTCCCGTAACATTGACAGACGGATGTCGCTTGATGCGACGGGCCCCGCCTGGTCTGGTTCAACACCTTTACGGCTTCCATCCCTGTGCCACTTTCGTTATATTTTTCCACGGGGATGAATAATTCTGCCTAAGTATTGGGTTTCCGCGCGGTTCCCTCTCGTCTTTTAGCGCGCCGCCTGTGGGTTCTGTGGGACGTGTGAGGTTTGTGTCCCTGTGGGACTTGTGCGACTTGTGGGGCCTGCGAGACACGCGGGACCTGGGCGACTTGCGGGATCGGGGGGTCTTGCTGGACCTATGCGGCCTGTGCGACCTGCGAAACTTGTGGGAGCTGTGGGGCCTGTGCAAAACGTCGGCCCTGTTAGGACCTGCGAGAGACCTGCGAGCCTTGCGGGACCCGTAGAGCTTGCGGGGCCCGTGTGGCCTGTGCGACCTGCGGCACCTGTAGGACCTGTGCGACCTGTGGGACTTGCGAAACCTGTGGGTCCTGCGGGACCTGTGGGGCCTGTGAGACTTGTGCGACCTCTGAAGCCTGGGTGACCTGTAGGACTGAGACCACTGGGACCTGCAAGGCGCTTTCCAACGAACCGTTGACGATCCGGCGGGGGGCAGGTTCCATTATGTAAATGCACACACGCGGGGCGCAGTTTAGGCTGCCCGGCAATCCCACTTAACGATCGGGCGGGTGCGGGTATAGTGTGTAGATTCGTACACAAAACGCACTTCGCGTAAAGTGGCGTGCCCCAGCGCGCCCACTGCACGATTTTTTATCCGCGCTTGGTGCGTGACAACCAAAAAACAGAAGCATCCATCGTAAAGAGAAAACTGTTTTTCCGGAAAAAACGCACTTTACGATTGATGATTCCCGTCCTATTGTTTCACACGCGAAACGCGGCAACAACAAAAATCTTTAAAAGGGCACGCCGGGGCACGCCACTTTACGCGAAGTGCGTCCCGTGTATGATTTTACACACGGAACCTGCCACTGCCCAGCCGTCATGTGGGACCCCCGGGCAACGGGAAGTGCGTCCCGCATATGAATTTACACAGTGAGCATGACCCCGCCCGCGTGCAATCGTTAAGTAATTTTGCCTGACACCGAAAGTTTTCCGCCATGAGCGGATTTTCGCAGTGAGCCCGCTCCCGCGCAAAGTTGCGTCCGACAACGACGACAGGCTGGCCCTGGGCCCTGGGCGCGGAACGCAGCCGTTATTGCCGGGAACGGCGGGCCACGACGACAATGACCACGGCGACGTCGACGACGACGACGACGACGATGACGACCGCGACGACGGCGACGACGACGACCACGACAACGACGGCGACCGCAGCGACCACGACGACCACGACGAAGACGACATGCGTTCTCGCTACATCGCCGGCCACTGCTTAACTGTCGCTCCTCTGCCGAAACATCATCAGCATGCTCACTCGCCTCTTCCTTCTAATCCTCCTGACCCTCCCCCCTCCTCGCTTTTTTCCCCCATCGAATTGTCATGTTTTTTCCCTCGCGCTCCCCCCCCAGCCTCCCAGGGAAGCCACGACAGACCACGGCAGCCGTCCAGCAACCATCTTAAGCATCAGGGACCGCGCGCTTCCCATTCCATGTGCCCGAGCGGCAAAGGTTGCCGACGCTAGAAGGCAATTGCCGCCAGAAAGATTGAAACACGCCCAAACAGGTTCGACATCCACACAGCCAGGGAAACATTTGACAAAATCAACAAAACGATCATCGTGAATGATCTGCAAACGGCAGCGCCCCAAGAGGGTCACAAATTTAGATTCGCTTTCCAATGTTGGCAGCCTGCGCAGGCTTGCACCATGGGCCAGGTCATTGATATGCCACACTTCGGCTTGCCCGCACAGTGGCAACATTGGGAGGCGAACGCCACTTTATGCCTGGGTGCTCTTCCAAGCTTATCCTTCACAGGGCTGCTGGCGTGGGCGGTTCCACGTTCTGACTTGCGGTTTCGTTCCCACTAGTCGGATGGCTAACATGCAACGCGCAATGCAAACGAGACGCTCCCCCGTAACATTGACAGACGGATGTCACTTGATGCGACGGGCCCCGCCTGGTCTGATTCAACACCTTTTCGGCTTCCATCCCTGTGCCATTTTTGTTATAAACTTTTGTCACGGGGATGTAGGCCGAAACAACAATGAAGCACGACTATCTTGTTTTTGTTTCATGCTGTGGAGCTCTGGGGAACCAACAGATACCGATACCGCAACTCCGCAGACCTCTCCCTGGTTGCGATCTGACCAGAATTTCGAGGCGAGTCCAGCCGTGGCGACGAGGGCCCCACAGGAGGTCCAAGAAAGCGAGATCGAGGAAATGGCACCAACAGCGGTATCGGTACCGCTTCCTCCTCCAATGAGAACCGAGGCGAAACCACTTGGGAGACCTGGATTGGTGCGCGACGGCAGCCGTCCTTCGGGGGCGCGCAGACATGGATTAGCAATCCATGGATCTGGCGCGCGGTCGCCGAATCCATGGATCGGTGGAGGTGCCCTCCCCCAAATGCGGCCGGTGCCGCCTCGTTCGGCGGCGGAAATCCGCGACCTCCCATGGAAACGGGACCCGTCCAGGCCTCGGACAAAAATATCGAACCCTCATGCCACATTCATCTGTCAACGCCTCCCCCTCCCCCCGATGTTCAGAGTTGGCGGTGGGTCTGATGAGTTGGACCTCGACCGCAGCCTCCCTTCGCGCGTGCCAACTTGGAGCTCGGGGGGCAGGGGGGGTGTTCACTGATTGTCTCCCTCTACCCTCGCGACTCCGCGCCCCCCGCGATCATATGCCTGCGACCGCCCGAGTCCTTGTCGCCGCCGGGCCGGCGAAGCAGGCGCCTCTCCCCCTCCAGGATCGAGAGCGGCCGGTCCTCGGGCAGGAGCCGGCGCTCACGCAGGGCCTGGTTCCCGGGCGCGACGCGCCGGAGGAGGGCCGGTGGAGGGAGCGGCGAGCCCAGGCCTCGAGCGCAGTGCTCAAGAGGAGCGGCGGCCATGCTTCGCGGCTGGTGGCTCCCGCGAGGGCCCTCGCGAGGCCGGAGCTCCTCCCCGGGGGGGAGGGGGTCCCAGAGGGGGGAGTCCTGTTCCTCCTCCTCCTCCTCCTCCTTATCTCCTCCTCCTTATCTTCTCCGTATCTCCTCCTTACCTCCCCTTTATCTCCTCCTCCTCCTCCTCCTCCTCCTCCTCCTCCTCCTCCTCCTCCTCCCCCTCCTGGTCGTCGTCGATGTCTGTCAGGGTCGGCGGCACCGGCCGTCAGGCCTTCACAACAAAGACGCCCATGCTTCGCGGCTTCTGGCTCTCGCGAGGGCCCTCGCGAGGCCCCGGGGACCATCCAGGGACACGAGCCCGGGTCGAAGAGCCAGACGCTGGGAAGTGGTCCATGAGGTGCGGGGGCCCCGCGGCGGCCCTCCGTCCCTGACGTCCTCTCGTCGTGAAGGAATCACGGCGGAAGGGTTTTGCAATGTTCGGCCTATGGGGACCCTCGCCGGGCCCCAGGATCGTCAAAGCCGACTCACAGAATGGAGAGCCATCCCCAGGGAAGGGGTCGAGACCTCTGGCTCGAGCCAGGTTGCGAAGAAACTCACGGCGGCGGCCCTCCATGACGGCCGGGCCTGCCTCGGACTTTGTCAAGGGGGGGAACGGTTCAAGGGGGAAACTTTGGCGATGACCACTTCACTGGTAGAGCGGAGATACGCCCCCGAGAGCGAATCCGAGGGTCCTGGGCGGGGTGGGCCATCCAGCCACCGTCGACGATGAATGGGCGACTGGGGTCTCCTGAGCCCATGCTGCCCTAACGTCGCCCCTGGTAGGGAGCCTAACTCTATACACCGACGCGCTCTCTGGCCCTGTACTGAAACTTGCCAACAGGAAAGCGGATCCTGGTGTATACGGGATCCTGGTGTATATATGTTTCGTTCTTGCCCCAAGAAGCAATATGGTTTTCCAGTCTCTTTTCTTTTTAAAAAAGAGCATGCACAACACCACCCCGACGCCGTCCCCGATCCTCAGAAAGTTCTGGGATTGAAAGACAATCCGCCACTGGTGATGTACATGCTCCCATGTCTGACCTGGTGCCTCCTGGGCCCGAACTCGGGCCTCCAGCGGCCGTTCACGGCACGATCCCGGCGCCCGCAGAGCGAGACCTCGGCAAGGCCCGGCTGCTGGAGAGAGGGGAGGCGCCCCTCTCGCTGACAAGAGCTGCCGCGCACCGACGACGCTGCGCCCGAAGACCTCGACGCCGAGGGAGCCCCTCTCGCTGACAAGAGCTGCCGCGCACCGACGACGCTGCGCCCGAAGACCTCGGCGACGAGGGAGCCCCTCGTGCCTGGAAAGGCGGCCTCTTGGCCCGGGCGAGAAAGGGCTGCCGCTGCCTCCGACCTGTTCCCCCTCTCGGAGGATGATGTACAGGTGGTGCCTGCCGGGGTCGGCGTGCCGGCCGCCGCCCGCGGACAGCCGCTTGCACAGGAGCTCGATGACCTCGCTCACCGGGGTCTCCAGCCTCACGGGCACCGTCTTGTACCTTTCGGGGCCCGGGGGGAGGCCCCTCCGCGTGCGGGAGAAGACGAGGCATGAGGCAGGACGCCGTTGGGACCTCATCCACGATCATGCTGCGCCGAGCGTGCAGAGCCAACCCCACGCGCTCCCGTCCACTGGCAACGACGCGGTGAACATCCCTCTCCGAAGGCTTCGGCGCGCTGCGCAGCTGCCCAGGAGCTGGCCCCACCGGGGAGGACTCCAGTCGGAGTGCCCAGATCTTTGATGTCCCGAATTTCCTCGCTGCGCGGCCCCTGCCCTGCCCCCTCGATCCCCGGCAGCATCTCGTTCCAGATCGCTCTCGGACGGCCCCTGCACGGCCCGCAGACGCCCCCCTCGGAGGAGCAGGAGAGCGGAAGACAAATGATGGCCTGGACAGTGTCGAGGTTGCGGCAGCTTGTCGGGGGCGTCCAAGAGGGGGGCGTCCATAAGAGGGGGGGCGCACATCGTGGCGCGAGCCCCCCGGGGCAAACGTGGAGCAGGGCCCTGGGGCCGCCGACGGGTTGCGACAGGCAGTGGGGAACCCAAACGGAGGAGGAGGAGGAGGAGGAGGAGGAGGAGGAGGAGGAGGAGGAGGAGGAGGAGGAGGAGGAGGAGGAGGAGGAGGAGGAGGAGGAGGAGGAGGAGGAGAGGGAGGAGAAGGAGGAGGAGGCGGAGGAGGAGGGCGAGGAGGGGGAGGAGGAGGGGGCCCCCTGAAATGCTGCTGCTGTTGTTCGGCGTGCTCTTTTCAATGTTTGGGGCTGCAGGCTCGGCGGGTCGCTCCAGGACCAGCGCCCTCGCGCATGTGCTGCGCGGAGCGGCGTTGCCCCACCACGGCACTGGTTCGTCCCCCGGGGGGCGGCACAACATGTCAACCACAATGGACATCCCAAACATCAAGGTGCATACAAACATCTATCCGACACAGGGCGCTCCACCTAGGGAGCCCACAAAGGACGTACGCGCCCAACTATGTACATGAGCACGGCTCCTCGATCCGCGAGACCCGCCGCGTGATACGAAACTTCGCGCAATGCGTACTCTCGAAACCAGCGTGGATTCATGTACGTGTACGTCCTTCTTTCGCTCCTGACCACCGAAGGCCCTATGCGGTTGCGCCCGCATGCCGCCGCCACCCCGCTTTGGCGCACCTCTCACACGTTTCGTGGTCCCAGACGGAGCGCCACCGAAGACGGCTCTCCCGACTGCATTACTCACAACTGCGTTTTGTCGGGTCCTTCGCCAAAATATCGTTTCCAATAATTACGGGTCCCTGCAAATCTGGACTCCTTTTCCAAAGCTGGCTGTTCGTTCTGGAAAGTTATGTGACGGTTCTGGGGCCCAGCGAGGGCCCACCGAGGCCGTCTTTCCTTTCTCTCTATGTTGGAGGTCAGGGAGATTTCCAAATCCCACATACTCTGAAATTGCAAAGCAAATCGTACCGATACCACCACTCCCCGCACCACTTCTGGGGCACATTCTGACCAGAATTTCGGCACCAAACCAGCCGTGGTGACAAAGTTTCTCAGCATGAGAAGCGGTATAGGCATCTTGTCATTCTCGGATTCTCGAGCTCTTGAGGAGGAGTTTAGGTGGCAAGACATGGGACGCGAGACTAGTGAATGAGATTCAGTGCCCCCCCCGCCGAAACCCACGAAGTCCCACTTCCGAACCTACTGAATCCCACACCCCCCCATGAACAGATCCCCCTCAATCCCATTTCAGCACCCACGAAGTCCCATTAAACCAAGGCAAACCAGAGTTTGAGAAAATCTTTGAGTCTACCAGAATACTTGACCACCCAACCTCCTCAAATCTTGTTCAGTGATCGTAGTCTCACCTCAATGCCAGCTACGTGGTTGGTCCACACGGCCGCGCTCCCTTGCAAATGAACGCGCTCAGTTGCGCGTGGCCGCGCTACCACCCCTGTCCCTCATAGCCGACCTCCTGACTCCTCGACCCCCTCTTCACCTCTGCTGCTATGCGGCCGCGCTGCTGGGATCACTTCCTCCTCTGGCCCTCGGGCGTTTTGTCCACGTTGGGCGGATCAGCTGAAGGCCCGAACCTCCGACGCTGTTCTCTCCTCCTCCTCCTCCTCCTCCTCCTTCTCCCCATCCTCCTCCTCCTCGTCCTCGTCCTCGTTCTCGTCCTCGTCCTCCTCCTCCTCGTCCTCCTCCTCCTCCTCCTCCTCCTCCTCCTCTGGCCCTCGAGCCCTCCAAGGAGGACGGCACGTGTTGTCCGCAAAATGCACCTTGATCTGCGGCGGCCGCCCGTCCCCGCCGCTCATCCGCCGCAGCCCGGCCCCTCTCGGGGCCCGCGCTCTCTCGCGCGGGCGGCGGCGGCGGCGCGGCCATGCCCTCGCCGAGCCCGGGCGGGATGGGCGACGCAGCTCGAGGGAAGCTGCTCGGCGCCCCTCTCACGGGAGGAGGAGGAGGAGGAGGAGGAGGAGGAGGAGGAGGAGGAGGAGGAGGAGGAGGAGGAGGAGGAGTCCACTGACGGGCACGTTGGCCAGTGACCCGGCGAGCCCAACCCTCCCCGATGTGAGCAGCGCTGCAGTGTCAGAACGAGGCCCCAAAGTGGCAACTTTCTCAGTGCCTGGCGGGCGGGCGAAGCAGCTGGAGGTCGGGGGTTGCTAGAGGTGCCCCTGCCCAAGGGAACCCCAGCTTTTCGCTCAATCTTAGGGCCCTCAGGGGCCCTCTCTGGGCCTCGCGAGGGGTGCTCTGGAGGCCGTGAGGGTGTCCTTGGAGATCCTGGGGGACCTTGGGCCAGGGGCACTTCTAGCAACACCCGACGAGGGAAGCTGGGGGCGGAAGCGGGAAGCCGGAGTGGTGCGCGCGATCCGATGGGAAGGCCCGCCCGTTCCCAGCAGGGCACGGGCGTGCAGGCCTTGGCCTCGAACAAGATTCGCCTCAGAGTTCGGTCGTGGTGCGGTCGCGGACGATCTTGTGCGGGCGATCGAGTTGGTCATATAGCATGCGTGGGAGTTCCTCCGCCTGGCTTCCACATGGGACGGGGTCTGTCCCCCAATAGCGATGGCATCACTGGAGGCTGAGGGGGGAGGGGGCAGGAAGGAGGACTCGGGACTCAGGACTCGGATGTCCGTGAAACGGTCCCATAAAAAACCTCTCAAGGGGACATGCAGCACACGCCTGTGGGCTGCAGGCCTGAGGGGGCTCATTCACGGCGGGCATTGCAGACCGTCAGGCAGTCGTTGGGAAAGCACGCGGTGACAAGACAACACATCACTGATGAAATCGGGAGTCCACAGGATGTTCCGCTTCGATAGCGAAGAAGGAGGAAGAGGAGAAAGACCCAGACCTCCAACGTGTTGAACACAATCAAGGCACAAACTTCTCGCCGTTCTCGGCCTCTCTGAGGGCCCACGCTGCGAAAAAAACATGACGTCGGGGGTCTGGGGTGGACGAAGAGGGAGCCGAGGCACACCGACGCGACTCGGCTCAAGAATCGGAGCCGCACCGAGACGGCCTGGTAACTGCGGGGCGTCCCTCGACTGAACGACCCGGTTGGAGCGCCAAGATAAGGAAACCCTGTACCCCATCCGATCACTGCCGCAAGCTCGTGATCGCGGACAGGGCCACTCGGCCTGTGCCGATGGCGCCCAAAAGCAAGAGAGAGGGACCTGGAAGGAGGGAGGAGGAACAGAGGGAGCAGGGCCACAGGGAGAGGAGGGCGGGGGGGGAGGATGACGCAGCGAGGAGAGGAGGCGAGGGGAGGGGGTGGGTGGGGAGGGGGTGGAGAGGAGGCGAGGAGGCGAGGAGAGGAGGCGAGGGGAGGGGAGGGGGGGTGGGAGGGGAGGGGAGCGACCTTCGTGCTGCGGCGTGGCGCCAGCTGGCCGCCTGGAGGCTTCCGAGGCCCCCGCTCCCGACGAGGACGGCGGAGGCCGAGGGAGGCGGCGCCGGGGCGAGGGCGGCCACGGGCCCTCGTCGAGTGCCCAAGCCCTCGCGCCGCGCTCCCGAGGCCACCGCCCGGCACAGGATCGCTCGCACTCTGAGAAGCGCTGCCCGCGGCCGCCCGCCCTGCGGCGGCCGCGAGATCGGGCGCGCGCGCTCCCTGCGGCCACCATCCCTCGCAGGTTGCACGGCGCGCGTGGGGCAGGACGGCGAGGACGGGCGGACGAGCGAGGGAGCGAGCAGCAGAGAGGCGATTGGCAGACAGGCGGTCTCACAAGCCCCCGGATCTGGAGCACCGGCTCAAGAAAAGCGGGGCCCGAGGCCGCCCATCGCAATCGACGAAGTCGGAGGCGAGGGATCCGATGGCGCAGACGGCGCCAACGACGAACAACACTCCCATGAAGCTCACGAAGGCAGCACTGAGGGACAGGGCCACGCTGCAGCACACAGCGCCACTGATGTCCAGCAAAGCCGCCGAGCTGCAGTTCAGCAAATCACGGCTGGGTGGCCCCTGTATACAGGAACCCCAGGGCGAGAAACGCGCTACTCCCTGGTGCCCAGACGGGGCACACCTGCCGCGACGCAAACCTGGTGTGAAGTCAAAATCTGAGGGTGGATGTGATCCAGGATCAAACACCACACAGCAAGTCCTTCCCACACGTACTCGGAACACCTGCCGCATGTGATACTGGCCTGGAGCACAAGAGCTTCCAGACCGTCTCCGCAAGAACGTGTACACCACAAGCGCCCATCGTCGTCTTCGAAGATGTCAGCCTCTTCACTTGGGAACGACCCAGGAAAGTAGCCGCGTCCATGGCCAGCCCGCATTCCATCGGAATGCTCGGCGCATCTAAACTCTTGAACGAAGTCGACTGTTGCTGTCCCCCCGCTGTAGCAATCGCCACAGAGTCCACCAACGGGCCAGCCAACTTATTGATTTGACGCGTCTTCCTTCTGGTGGCATTCGGCGGGCATCGGGGCGGCTACAACGTATGTTCTTCTTGGCGCTTTGCGCCTGCGTGAGGTTGCAGAAATGCGGGGTGTTTTCCATAACTCTCCCTCTTGAAATCGCTCGCCCAGGGCCATCCTGAGCCAGGCGCTTGCGCGCCTTCGTCGAAGTGTCGAACTAGTTGCAGCCTGGGCAAAATAACGAATTACTGCCGTCCTCAACCACATATTCGAACAGGGCGCATCCACCTACCAGCCAAAGGTCAGGGCTAGCGTTTTCGTGGTGGGCTGCCGCCTGGAGGGAGATGAGGCTTGGCTCCTTCCACGGCTTGCTTCGGCTTGTGCAGCCCGTTAAATCTGAACCCACTAGCTGCCAGCTGCTTGGATTTCGTCCTTATCCTCCTGAGGCCTCCGCCCACGAGCTCCTCAACGTCCTTAGGCAAATCGTCGAGTTTCATGTTGTAAGAGTTCGATTCCTGCGGGTGGGGTGGCTGAGGTTGCACGGGACAATGCTTCGCCTTCGTTCCCGCTGGCTCTGATGTGATCTCCTTTGCCTGGGTCTTGAGACCGTTCGCGAGAAGAGGGGTAAGCGTATTGGCATCAGTAACTCCTTCAAGCTTGCTGGGGCACATTGCAAGCTTGCCCAGGTCGCCTGCGGAGTCCACCACTCGAACTGGAGCTTCTGGCCGCATCGAAGAGAGGCTCCGAAGCTTGTTCTCGAGCTTGTCGCAGGCCTGCTGCTTCGACACCAACGCGTCAGGAGCCAAGTGCAACGTGTACTTCGCCTTCTACAGCGTGTGTTTCCTGCTGCCACTTTGTCGAGCACCGCCTTTTCCTTTCGCTTACGGGCCTGCTCCACTCTGTGTGAAAGTGCCATTAGCTTCGCTGGAAGGGGCTGGTTCTCATATAGACGGTAACGAACTGCTTCCAACTAAGCACGCGCGGCAACCAGTGGAGATTCAGCCCTATCCTGCCGGATACTCTCCAACTACTGCACATGCTTTGATAATCCATCAATCTCAGATCTCGCAGGTCATCGGCCTCGCCAGCATCGTCTCCGTCTGCAGTCCCTTATTTCTGAGGAGCGTCGAACGCAGCACTCTCGACCTCCAATTGCAGCAGCCTGCGCTCGAGCTTGGCGAACGACGCGCTGCTACCGAGGTCGCCTTGAGTGAGCTTCCTGCTCGGGCTGTCGGGGGGAACCTCACGAAGGAAGCTGGATCCTTTGTGAACATGACACTTGCTACAACGCTTGTTGGCACCCAAATTAATTAGAGGAGAACCAATACGACGAAACGTGCAACACTTACACATCCAATCCACTTTCGCTGCGCCATCCTTCGCCCACGGAACCGGGGCCATGCGGACGTCGTGCGAAACGGAATGGGCTGCCAGAACGCCCGTAAGGTGCTGGCAAACAGGAAGACCGTCGAGCGTAAATGCTCTGACACTGCGTCGCACTAGTAGAGGTATCCAATTCTTCCGTGAGGGCGGGAAACGCACCTTGAGCCAAAGCTGCTGCGGATGATCACGAAGGGTGCAGAGCGACAGAGTAGAATTGTGGATGCCATGACAATGGACACCCTGACAGTCCTATTATTGAATTTAAGCTGTGTTTAACATGTAGAAACATGTGCTACATGTTTTTCATGTGCTTTACATGTGTAAAGCATGTTTAACACATGTTTCAGACAGATGTAAATTATTTCGCAGCATGCTTCCTCTCCATTGATCGTCCTCCACAAAACTAGAAAGAGGGTCACAACTCAATGGGGCAGGGCGGCAGCGTAGGGAGGGGAATGGCGATGACGGCGGTCGCACGGGGGCGGCAGAGTGAGGGGGCAGGTGGGCGCAGGGAGGCAGGCGATCATCACGAGGGGGCTGGAGGAGGAGGGACGCAGAGGAGGGGGAGAAGGAAAGAGGAGAGCAGGAAAGAGGAGCGAGGCACGCGCTGAGACGGATTGCGGATCCGAGGATCGGGTGCGTGGGCGCCAGATCCGCGTCCGGAAGGAATGTGTTTCTGGAGGCAGATTGCGAAGGCCCTAATGCATCGTATCTGGTGTGTCGAATCACTCATATTCTTTGTTCTCGCATTCAATTTTATTTGTTTATATTCTGATGTGCCCCCCCAACAGAGCCACGCCCCATCCAAGGTGCTAAAGACCCAACCAAGGTACCAAAGGTGGCGGACCCTTCTGAGGCCCTAGTTCTAAACCAGCATGAACCATAATCCCGCCAGCCCTTCAGGGCGTGAGTGGTTTAGCGAATTCCTCTTCCAACCCACTTCTTCCCCTTCGGGGAGGGTTTAATCATCGTTCCCTGTGAACTAACACCAACCAGGACCAGTGAAGCCCCCTCCCCCCACACCATCCCTGGCAAAAAAAACATGTGAAATCAACTATTGGGCAAAATCTCTGGTCATTATGGGGGGGGCGCGAGCACTTTGCATTGCTTTTGTGACAGGGACCGCGCGGGGGAGGCCGCATACTGACCGCTGCGCGTGGGCCCAGCATCACCGTGGACTCACCAATGCAGCATGCACTTCGAGACAGAATCTGGATCATGCAAGGGCACCCCACGATCACAGTGCCCGCGGGGAGGAGGTTAGACTTAAGTCGGGCCTGTCCCCCCTACGGGGGGATTTTGGACGAAATGAAACATACCCCCAACATGCTCCCCAATGGTCAGAAACAGTAAGATCGCGTTTCTTTATGTTCGGCGATGACGGGCGTCATGGGGGGGGGGGGAGGGCGGGGGGGGGGGTATGACGTGACGCCCCCAGACTATTTGTTTTTCCTATGTTTGAGCGCTCCCCCGATAGAGGGACGGGCCCGACTGCAGGTCAGACCCCACAGCCCCCGCGCCGCCCCTCTGCGGGCTCCCTCCCCTTGGAAGGCGCGGCGCAGGCGGGGCACCCGGGGGCAACGAGCTCCCGCTTGGCAGCCCCGCCGCCGAGGCCAGGCTCGTCGGAGAGGAGGGGCCGGGGAGGAGCAGGACAGGGAACGGGAGGAGGGCGAGGATGAGAAGAAGGGCTGCGGAAGGAGGAGGGACGAAGAAGAGAGGCGGAGGGCGGAGGAGGATGAGTGAGGAACAGGATGCGGAGGAGAACGAGGACGAGGAGGAGGAGGAGGAGGAGGAGGAGGAGGAGGAGGAGGAGGAGGAGGAGGAGGAGGGAGGAGGGGCGCGAGAGGGAGGAACGAGGAGAGAGGGAGGAGGGAGGGAAGCATGGCCTAAGCGAGATGAAGGAAGATGGGGGAAAGGTGGGAGAGGGGAGGAGAGCGCACGTCTTGTTTACCCCTGGGTGGACAGTGTCCTTTACGGGAGCAGAGAGAATCGAGGATGAGGACGACAGGGCAAGGCTGACACAGGGGAAATAGGAGGGTGAGAGAGGAGGCGAACTGCAAGGGGAAGAGCACCTGGAGAAGGAGCAAGGACGCGGCGGCGGGAGGAGCTGGAGGCAGCGAGAGGAGGAGGGCCACACCGCAGCCGACAGGGCGGCGGCCACAGGGAGCGCTCACGGAGGGCAGCCAGCGCCGCGATCTCGCAGGGGGGCCGCGGGCCGCAGCTCCCGCGAGACGAGCGCCTGCGCCCTGGCGAGCCCGCGCGCACGCGCCCGCCCACGCGCGCGCGCGCGCGCCGGCGCCTCGCACCCCTCGGGCGGCGATGGGCTGGGGCCTCGCGGCGGCCGTCGCTGTAGCACGGACGTAAACAATGTGACAGAAACGGTGCCGCCGCGGGGAACTCTTTGCGCCGGCGGCGAGACAGGGGTCGTCTGCGCTAACAGAAGGGCCTGAACGGGGGTGCCGTTAAAGCGAATTGAGCCACCACGCAGGAGGGGCCGCCGCTGGGGAACACGTCTGCCACCGTGCCTGCAGAGTGTGGGGGCGTTCGGATGCCAGGTGCCACCCTGTAGGCTTTCGGCGCTCTGATATTGAAAGGGGCCCTCACCCCTTCTCGCCCCGGAGTGCGGCGTGCACCCCGCCCCCTCCCGAGGCCGCAACCCCCTAGTCAAGACCGGTGGATCCGCGTCCCGAGCTTCCAAGACGTCCCATGCAGACAACCAAGGCCTTCGTAAGGGCTCAAGATGCCGCGAAGATGGGCTAAGATGGCCCCAAGGTGGCCGAATGTGGTCACAACACGGCCCATGGCCTCAAGACGGTCCGAGATGCCTCCAGTGGTGCCCAAACGGACCACACGAGGACCTCCAACAGGGCCCGAATCAACCAAAACCATGACTTGCCCTTGAGTTCGTGAATGACGTTTGCATTCTCGCCTTTCGGGCTCCCGTCTGCTCAAGACAGCCCAAGAAGCCTCCACCATGTTCCAAAGACGGCCAAAGAGGTCCCCACTGGAGCCCAAGTATGGCCCAAGAGGACCCACGAGGACCCAAGAGGCATCCAAGACGGCCCAAGAGGGCATCCCGTGGAATCCAAGACGGCCTCAAAGGCTCTTCGACTGCCCAAGACGGCACCAAGACGGCCTGACGACAGCCACCAGACACCCACCTCACGGCCAAGAGGGCCCCAAGACGGCCCAAGACGGCCTCAAAGGACCCCAAGACGGCCTCAGAAGGCTCTTCAACTGCCCAAGCGGGCGCCAGGACGGCCCCACGACGGGCCCCAGACTCACCACACGACCCAGAGGGCCCCAAGACGGCCCACGAGAGCCCCAAGACGGCCTAAGAGGGCCCCAAGACTACCCAAAAGGGCCCAGTGGACCCCCTAAAACTGCCCACAGGAGGCCAAGATAGTCCCAAGACGGCCCACACCAAGTACATGCGAGCTCCTCAAAAGTGAAGACGATCGGTGTCACACTTGACGGCCTTCCTCTTCCTTCTCCTGCTCCTGTTCCTCCTCATCTTCGCCATCATCACCACCACCACATCCACTACAACCATCATCATACTCATCATCATCAACGACAGCATCAATGCATCAAGAACCGCCTGATTTGGCGACGACGAGCGTCGACGTCGCATGTACGCGGGGCCCGTCTCTAATCCACGTGCCTAAATCCATGTCTGCATTTCCTCGACTGCGGCGGGAGCGCCGCAGTCGTGTTCGCGCTCTCACCTTCCCCCCCCCTCCCCCATAGCGCCCCCGGGAGAAGGGAAGCCTGGACCTCGAGCGGCGTATTTTTTTCGCGAACGCGAGCGCACCTCGCCGCGCGGCGCCCCCACCCTCGTTGACAGCCGACGCTGCGATGTGATCTCTTCAGTGCGCGGCCATGTAGAGGCCCCGAGCCCCTTCGGCGACTCCGAAGGGTGTGGTCTGCAAAGGGTGTGGCTTGCCACCGGCACCCTGGGGGACACCCTGGGGGACGGGCGTGGACCTCGACGGAGCTCTCCGCCGCGCCCCGAGGCCCGACGAGGACAGCGTCGTGCTTCCCAGGCCCCGACGTCGCCGATCGCAAACCACACCCCGGCGTAACCACACCCTTTGTATTCGCCGACCCCTCCCCCGAAGGCCAGCTTTCCGACCCAGCTCCGCTTGTCATTGCCCCAGGGCCCGATGACGGGGCCCAGGGGGCCGAAGTCGGGGGAAAACGCCAGGGTTTAACAAAAGCACCTCGGGTCGGAGATTGATCTAAGCACGCGCCAGCCTCACCAGAGGCCTCCCAGATGGGGTCCGAGTAGATGGGGTCGGAGGATCGCGCCATATTGTCGATGCGTCGCCGATGCCTCAGCGGCGTCGGCGTGGGGAAAATCGGGCTCCACATCGAGCCGCATCGGTGATGTATCGCCACTGCGGCGCGATGGGGAAAATCGGGCTCCACATCGAGCCGCATCGCTGATGTATCGCCACTGCGGCGCGATCCTCCGACCCCATCTACTCTGCCCCCACCTGAGCGGTCTATACTCGGGATCGTTCGCGAGGGGGGCGTCAAAGAGAGGGGAGCGCAAATCATAGCGGGCACCATGTGCGCGGATGAGGGGGGACCAGGGACGCAGAGGGGGCAACGAAATCTGGGAAGACATCATGGCTCCCGCCATGATATCCTCATCCCCCCTAGTCATCACTTCCAAGTTGGATTAGATGTTCATTCTGGGGACCTTCCTGGAGCCACTCGCTCTATTCGTGCGTCGAAGCTGCGTCGAACGTCCGTCGACTCGAGTCGAACCCGAGTCGAAACCGAGTCGAATCTGAGTCGAGCCTGCGAGGAACTTGAGCCGAACTGGAGAGGAACTGCAGTTCAACAGAACAGAACTGTTAGGTGGGCCCCAGGAAAGCCCCCCAAACGAACATCGAAGTTGGACTCCCCCATTCAACTCACACCGTAAACGTTTGGCGCTCCGCGCGGATGTCTTGGATCCGCGCTGGACCCCCCTCCCTGGCGCGCGGAGCGCGCCAGGGGCGGCGCCG